AAAAAAAAAAAAAAAAAAGGTCACCTTTTTCAAAACACCTTTTACATACTATAGTTCACTGGAAGGCAGCCTGTACCAGCTCTTTGAATGTTCTTGTATTTTTCTGTACTGTGCTTGTAATTGATTTTGTGTTCTTCTTTGTAGCTATCCTAAACTTTGATCTAATATTCATCACTAAATTAAGTATATTAAAAAAGAATGTGGATCTTGGAGATGTTTTTAAATCTTAAAAATCTTTAAGGCAGACAGTGACGAGAGAAAGATCTTTTTAGGTACATGGAACAAGGCCCTCTGTTGTTATACAGTGTACAGTATTTATGGCATTTTTCCTTGTTTATATACATTTCTTTTATTCTGTTGACCTTTTCAGAGATGGACTGGATTTAGTAAGAATAATGGATAAAAGTATAGGCTTTGGCATCAGACCTGAATTTAAAACCCTAGTCTGTATGTTCATCATTGTGTGACCATACATGAGTTACCTTATCTCTCTCTCTTTTTTTTTTTTTTGGTGCCGGGGATCGAAATCGGGTCCTTGCGCTTGCGATGCAGGCCACTGAACCACTGAGCTAAATCCCCGGCCCGAGTTACCTTATCTCTCTCTTTTTTTTTTTTTTTTGGTGCCGGGGATCGAAATCGGGTCCTTGCGCTTGCGATGCAGGCCACTGAACCACTGAGCTAAATCCCCGGCCCGAGTTACCTTATCTCTTTAAGCTTCCATTTCTTTTCAGGAATTTAGCTCAGTGGTTCTGCTGCCTGCTTCACAAGCACAAGGTCCTAAGTTAAATCCCTGGTACCAAAAAAAAAAGAAGCTTCCATTTCCTTTTCTCTACAATAAAGATAATGACAGTACCAGTTTCCTAAGATTATTATAGCTAAAATAGGTATTTAATTATAAATCTCTTACCTGAATATGTTATGAGCATTAAAATTCAGTGGGTTAAAAGTATTCCAAAACAACTTATAGTTTATTGCATATTTAATTTATTTGATCTCTTGTCTTATTTGTTCCTCATGGAAATGGCATGAATTAGGCAAGCAAGTACTGTTTTGGTTTTATAACAGGATTAGAAGTGCTTATTAGCACTTTACATTTGATTGGCACTTTGCTCTCACTAATAATCATGGAACTTTTGATATTGGTTATATTATTTTCAGTAATTTTTCTATTTATGCCCACTTTCTTGTTCCTAAATCTTGCTATACTGTGAGTTTAGTCCACTCACTGAGTTTTTTAATGATGATTTCTCAGTATGCATAGCTTACCTAATTTTGCTTATGAGTTAAAATGTCTACCTTAATTCCTCAAAGTGGTGCTGTTTTTTTCCTTCTTCGGAAAATTATGTTGTGAGTTTCTGTTTACTATAGATAAACATTATCCACATCATAGTGACAGGAACTTTTTTCATAGGTGGTCACAGCAGAAAGTAACAAACTGCTCTAGCTTTAGGATGTTCAAGCACTAGGGCTGAACTGTTAGGATACTTTGGTTTGACATATACCTGCTTGTAGTCCTACCTAGTGCTCCAAGCTACTGCTTCTGCAATCTAGCCTTCTGATGTCCTTAGCATAGTTAGTAATACATTCTTAGCACCAGAAGATACTTTTAGACATTGTCTAGTCTTCCCATAATTTGAAAAATATATGTAATAACATCTAATAATGAGTTCTTTCTGTATGCCACATAGAGTGCCTATACCTTTGTTTTCTTAATTAAGTCCCCCACCCCTGTGAGTTTAAAAAAAAATTAAAACAGAAACACTAAACTTGCTGAAAGATAAGTTAGGTAGAACTCTTGAAGACACTGGCATAGGAACAAACTTTGTGAACAAAACCTCAGTAGCGTGGGAACTAGCACAAAGAACCAATAACTGAGATCTCATCTTATTAAAAAGCTTCTTTACTGCAAGAGAAACCACCAACAGAGCTAAGAGACAACCTACAATGGGGAAGAAGATTTTTATCAGCTTATTCCTCAGACAAAGGACTACTATCTAGAATATATAAAGGACTTAGAGAATCAGAACCCGCAAATATAAAGATCCAGTTAGAAAATGGGCATCTGAAATGCATAGACATTTCTCAGACAAAGAAGTAAAAGTAGCAAATTAACATATGAAAAAATGTTCAACATCACTGGTCATTCGAGAGATGTAGATGAAACAACACTGAGATTCCACCTTACCCCTGCTATGAAGAAATCAACCAATAACAAATGCTGGTGGGGTCGTGGGGAGAAAGGAACCCTTCTCCATTGTTGGTATGAGTGCAGACTGGTTCAACCACTGTGGAAATCAATATGGAGATACTTAAAAAAAACTAGGATTAGAAGTCCCATTTGACCCAGCTATTGCTCTGCTGGGTATCTTCCCAAAAGAATTAAAAGGGCAGTGAGGTCCTTAGCAGTTGCTTTTCTTGGCAGTCCCATAATTGTCAAAACCCCCCCCCTTCTCAGAAGTCCCTTAGAGTCTTTGAGCCACTGGATCTTGGCTTCAGACAGGGTGATGTCCTTGGGGGATTTTTGTCACCTCCAGCATCAGCCGCAAGACATCTGCTGTTCCCAGGAGGCAGTCTTGAGCACTTGTCTTTTGCCAAGGATTACATGTTTCAGTCTACTCTGTCTCTGGTATCCTGATTAGCTGTGGAGCAAGGGAGGGCAAGCAGATGGACATATTACACTATAATGGCTGGCCTATGAGGGCGTAGTGCTTATCATCCTGTGCTGGATAGCCAGACTAGGAGAACTGTATGAGGACAGGCAGGGGACTAAGTCCTGTGCAGGCATTGC